GATTTTTTTTTATCATTTGATTTTTTATCCTGATTTTTCTTGCTTGTGATATTTTAGAAAAAAGAAAAGCTGGACTTGGTATATAAAGGCGATGGCTTGGTAAAAAACTTCCTGCTACAGGTGTCAGTCTTCCTTGTGTAAAGTCAGTACCAGTGTTGTGTACTGTAATATCTGTTTTCTCCCAGCCCTTAGTAGTATTTTTCCAAGAGTGACACAGGGCTCTGGAGACGGCATAAATATGGAGCAGTCTCTTTCACAAACCACCCTAACTTAATGGATTTGTCATCATAGTTTTGGAAATGCAGGTCCAGAAGTAATACGCTAGTGTTTCTGTTGGCTTTTTTAATGTAAGCACTCACCCAGTCAGTTAAATATTTGAGAAATATAATCCTACATACACTGTATCAATTCATGATTCAAAGACTCCATAGCAAAGGAACCTTTACTTTTTCTGTTGCTTGTAATCTGACCAAAAAAGAAAAAAGGAAAGGAAGGACAAAAGTCTGACTGCACCTGACCTTAATAAATTTTAGTCTACTTGAAATTAGTCACACTACAATAAAAATTAGGTAAAAAAATAATAAATAAAAATGATACATTGTAAAAAATTCTAAGTCTGCACAATCTGCGTGGTCTGCACGATCTGCAGTCTGCAGTCTTCCTGGTCTGCGTTTAACGTGACCGACTGGAGCAGCACATGTATAGCACAAGTATAATTTTTCTGTTTGGTAATTTGTAGTAATGAGGTGGCCACATGTTTGTTGATTATACTTAATTAGTTAAGTTAGATCTGGAATAAAATATTTCTGTTATAAAATGTAGGTGTTATGCAGTGAATAGGGTGAATCCTTAAGAAAGGCACTCGAGGGATTGCATGTGGTGACATTGGCCATATATATTTTCCAGACCATTGGATGGGTAATTTTGGGCCCTTTTCACTAAAGAGGAAGGCAATAATAAACTTATAATGGAACAGTTGAAGCACTGAAAACAGGGTACATAATCAAATGGTCATTTGGCATTAGATTCAAATAGTTTCTAGACTGTTATCAGACATTTAGATACTGGGAACGAAGGAACTTTAAAAAAACAGTGCGGTTTTGAATACTAAAGTAAACATAAGAAAAACAGTCAAACGAAATACATTGTAGAAGCGACTGTTGTAGAGATCAGTAGGTCCATAATAGACCTCGTCACGGTTTTCGACGCCATCTTCATGACGAGTAGGCAAACGCGTGAGAAATTACAGTATTTGTATGAGAATCTAACTTCGAATAATTTCCGTAAAATGGCTGTTCTGAAAAAAATATGATTTGTAAACTAAAGCTTCATTCCTAAGGACTCTACTGAAAAAGCTTGAAGGCGTTACATGCACTAGAAGACCTAGAACCACTTTTTAAATTTCCTTTTCATTTGTCTGTAACAAAGTCCCGGGAAAATTACAGACAAACATATGGAAAATCTAAAGCAAGCCTCTGGACAAATTTAAGCACAGGTACGCCCCCCAAATTTTTTAGGACAATCCTTTGCTTTGTAGCTTTAGTTTACAATTGATATTTTTTTCAGAACAGCCGTTTTACAGAAATTATTCGACATTAGATTTCTTATAAACACTGTAATTTCTCACACTTTTGCCTACTCGTTGAGATGGCGTCGAAAACCGGGACAAGGTCTAAATGCTAAAGCTCTGTTCCGCGCGCCCAGAACTTAGCGTACAACTTTTCGTGACTATTAAGAATTTCTCATTTAATCACACCTACCTAGCCTGTACATAGACGTTGTTTTCTCTTTCTTTTTGACAAAAGGCGAGCACGGAGCGCGAGGAAAAAGAACAGACAGAAACAAAAAAAAACAAAAACAACAGATAATTTTATAGTCTGTGCCACGTGACCAAATTTTCCCTTTACTTGTCTTTCAGTGCTCTTTACTTCTACAAAAAAATAAGAAATCTCACGTTATTTTCATTCCTAAGAATTGTTTTTGACTGTGTATATCTGCTCATTTCCTATTTTGAGAAATTCTCAACTTGAGTCTACATTTTGCTGTTTGCCGTTAACTTCACTTTAAATCGCTCTATCCCCCTCCCCCCCCCCCCCCACCCCCCGCCACCATTGGCGCTAACGGTCAACAAATCCCTCGCGGTTTTATTCTTACTAGCGCTCGAAAGTCCCTAAAGTGGAAATAAAAGGGAGTGTAAAAAGGCTAAAAAATAACTGAACTTTTATAATAATGACATTGGGGAGAATACTCAGGAATGTTAAGGCATGGGTCACTTCATAATTTGCATAATTTGGCGAAGTAGCATTTGAACAGGATTGCTTTGATCAGTCGTCATGAAACTTGGCCAGCAGTCTTAGCTTGTTGGTCTTAACAATATGTGACATATTCATTGTTAAAATACCAGTCACGTGACTTGCAAATGATCGGTAACGTTTAAAGTTTTCAAATTAAAATGGGGGAAAGGAAATGAAAGAGAAGCAAATATTCTTAGGCACCCGTGTTTTTCTCATGGCCTGGATATTATGAAATAGCCCTGCGTTGAACGTGTTTTGTTGTTGAAGTCGATGTCCGATGTTGGTTGTGAGGCAAATCGTCGTTGAAGAAAAGAGGAATTTTTGTTGATGTTGATTTTCTCTAGTTGTTGAATTAGACATATTTCGAATGTTGATTATTATATTAATCGTTGAAGTTGGACGGATTTTATTGTTGATGTAGAAAAAAAATGTTGAACTGCAGATTGGTTGTTGATGTTGGTGGTGATTTTGATTCGTTGAATTTTGCACCATTCCGCCTACCATAACAAAAAGCCTCGGGAAATTTCAGAGGAGGTTTAAATAATTAAACTGCACAAATATTTATCTACAAAGTGAAACCGAACCGAGACTAATTTTGTAGTGGTAAGAGAAACGATCATTTTTTTTATATTTCCCCCTAAATATTACCGATTGCTTCCTCTGCAAGCTGTTTTATAATTTCAAAAAGATATGCCTAATGACACTTTAAACTTTTATAGGGTTAGGGTTAGGGTTAGGGTTAGGGTTAGGGTTAGAGGTTAGGGTTAGGGTTTAGGTTAGGGTTTAGGAGTCTGAGAACTGACTCTTCTCCTAACCTTTCTACTTGCATAGCACCTTAGTTTCAAGAAAATAATCCTTTCAACAGGAAGGGACCAAGAAACTGTCAAATGTTGGATAAAAGGAATCCATTCCTATGCAAAATACCCATGACTTGCTCGTTGGCACGCTATCGATAGGTTTACCTAGTTTTATAATTAACAATCTAGAACAGCTTACTGGAATAACTGACGAATAACAGGGGACCTAAACAACTGCCTTGGGGGACTCCAAAATCGATACTGAACCGGCCTGACAATACACCATCAACTGTAACTTTCTGAGAACGATTTGATCATGTTGATAAGTACGAGGCGAACCAGACTAGAACTTTCCAGACACACTGGCAAAATAATGTGCATAGACGGTTTAGGAGAATTTGATGGTCAAATTTATCAAAGGCGGCGCCGGCTAATGTTCAGAAGGATAGAAGCGTAGCATGTCGTTTATCCAGTTCATGAAAATGTCATTTTTAATTTTGAGAAGGGCTGTTTCAGTGCTATGGTTAGGACGAGCGACTGAAGCATAGGAAAGAGATTATTCTTAACCGGATGATTCATGAGGGTAGAAGTTACTATGCAGTCCCAGCTTAAAAACACGAAGTCGGCAGACCAATAAAACCCCATTATTGGGGTCTCGTTGAGAAAAAAATGGTAAACTCAAAGATGCTCTTATATCTTGGAGTCCTGGTATAGCCCAATAGGCAAGTTTCGTATTCCCCGACGGCCCTGCTGGGGCAAGCACGATTGCGAGGCTAATGCGAGTCAACTTCTTTGCAAAAACAAAAACAAACATAAGTAATTTGCCGCTGAGTCGCTGGAACGATAGAAATCTTTAAAACAGTAAGATTTTAAAGCTTAAACTTTACCAGTAAGCCAAAGAGATACCTGTTGTAAACAACAAAATTGTGGGAAAAGCTGATCGTACTCAACAGAAGAAAGAAAAAAGCGACGAACCCCAAAAAAGACGTAAACTTTTTAAGCTTGAAAAGGGTAAAGTTTGTTAAAATGACAATATTTTATTCCCTTTAATTGATCTTACTTCTTAGTATTCTTTTTTACTCTTGCGTATATCTGTAAACTACATGGAGTTTGAACTACTCAGTACATCATCTGTATAACATTCTGTGTTGAGTTCTTGTCGACCGAAATACGCGTACGTTTTTCTTTATGTGACTGAATATTTTGATAAATAATGAAAGCCAGAATTATATGCTTCTGTGTAAACTAAATATAAGCTTGTGTGTAAATAGACTTACACTACTTTAGTCATCTTCGTTAAAATCGGTTTAACTTCCTCACAGTGTAAGGAATGAATGCAGAACGTCTGTCCCGTCGGTTTATTTTTTTCAAAGGCCCAAGATTTTCCATTCTCTCCGCTAGATAACTAGTCAACTAAAAATAAGGTTTCAGTTTAACTTGCAGGCTTTCGACAAGTACGTCCACTCCAATGGAAGGTATGGCTTAAGGAACGGGCTTTAACCATCACCCCATTTTTATTGAACACTGTTTCGTCGATTTCTGGTTAGGCTCGTTGTTTTTCTCAAGGATGACGAGCTGATTTCCCCGTTTGCTGTTTGAAACAATGATTTCTCAAACCTGTAAGTAAGTTTTGAGACCTCCGAAACCTTTCAACGTTTCAAATTTTCCTTTTTTTGGCAACTCAGACGCAGTTTTCTCTAGCCTGAATTTCATCCGATTACTTCGAGTCGATATTACTCCGAGGAGAAAACGACTCGAAGCAATCGGATGAATTTCAGGCTAAGTTTTCTCATGTTTGTTTGTCTTCTTGTTGAGAAGTGACCTGCATTAGCCTCGCTTTCGCGCAAAAACAAGCACTCGTCCTAGGCCGCCCGGGAATAGAGTACTAAAGTGTGACGTCATAAAAATGAAATTTGTGAAATTATGGGATTTGTCAGGACATTCTGAAAGAACAATGTCTAAGAGGCCTACTTGCCAAAAATGAGCATTTGGGGGCAAATTGTCTCTGAGATCGTAGCCCAGTTATGCTTACAAAACTCCATACAAACCCTTCTAAATTTTTTTTGGGTGGACCCAAAAAAAAATTAGAAGGGTTTGTATGGAGTTTTCCGAGTATAACTGGGCTACGATCTCAGAGACAATTTGCCGCGAAATGCTCATTTTTGGCAAGTAGGCCTCTTGGACATTGTTCTTTCAGAATATCCTGACAAATCCCATAATTTCA